GGGTATAAGAAAAGTTGTGTATAGCCTGGCCAGACTACACCTCGGACAGAATTTTGAAGATCTGAGGAAGAGGAAAAATTATCAGAAGAAAGGATCAGTAATTCATTTTTTCTTTGAAGGACTTAATTAATAGTAAATATTTAAGGTTTTGCAGAAGTGCCAAAGTTGAAGATATTAATAGGTACTTATATATTACAGAGTCTCTGTCATAACTACTCAACTTTGCTGTTGTAAGGCAAAAGCAACCTTAGTTAATATGTAAAAAAATGACATGGCTGTCTGACAACAAAACTTTATTTATGGACACTAAAACATGATTTTATAAAAGTTTCACATGTTCAAAAATATTATCGCTCTTTTGATTTTTTTTCCCAAACAGCTATATATGTGAAAATCATGCTTAGCCTTTGGGGTATACAAAACTGGTACGAACTTGGCCCACAGGGCATAGTTCGAAACCCTTGAAATGCAATGTTCTCAAACTCTGGTGTGTGTAAGGATCAACTAGGGTATTTATTTTAAATGTAGGCTTTTCCAGGCCTCCCTAGAGAGTTAGATTTGTTAGTGTAGGAGTGAGACCCAGGAGATCTGCATTTCTAATATGCACTCTACTGAATGAACTTTCACTTGCTAGGTGGCATGCATGTACAAAGTTCTTTGGTGTAGGACAGTGTTTCCCAAAGTATAGTCTATAACTACCAATTGCAAAATTGCTCAATTTCAGTTTGGATGTAGTTCAGCAAGATGACTATGGTAACAGCATCCATAGCTTCATGCCCTACATTTCATTTTGAGTCGTGGAGATGTTCGGCAGGAGTGAGGATTGCTATTACCATAGGTATCTTGTTGAACTACATCCAAACAAATACTCTAAGTTGCTCTTCTCTAGGTCTGCTACTTAAAAATATCTGTCATATGAAAGCTGTATAGTAGAGACACTGCATCATGCAAAATCCTCCCCCAACCCTTTAACTCTGCTGTAGAGATAAAAATGATTTATCTTTTTATATGCAGTACATTTATATTTATATGCAGTACAACACTGCATATAAATGTACCCTACCCTCCATATAGTTCTTAATGATGTCAATGATCACAAAAGCACATTTTTGTTCAAAGGTCAAACATCATGCTTTCTGTTAGGATGTGAGGGTTTGACTTAAGAACTGTTCTTGCTTAAAATGAAATAGCAAACCAAATCCCAAATATATTATAACTAGCTTGAAAAATAAAATCAGTAAAAGTTAGGAATTTAGATGATGGGGTGATAATTAAGAGCCCCCTGGGCACCTGTCAGAATTCTGCAGTTTGGGAGCCTGCTCATGCAGAATCTGAATATTTATCCATGTGATGATTGCTTGTCAGAGGTTTATTCTAAACCCCTCCTTCTCCTCCCCTACTTGCTGACCCTGTGTTTGACACTATCTTCAGCCTCTCTCCAAAACATGGGGGCAGGGGTAGGGAGAAAGAGAACTGGATTTGAAAAGCATGGTTAATGATAGAACTGCTGTAAAAAAGTTAGAAAATATGTGTTCTGATGCCTGACCTTCACCGTGTTTTAATCCCAGACACATGAGGAGATCGGAATGAATACAAGCACATTTTAAGGTTAGAGAACACCTTCTCTGATAAATGAGTCCCTTTGTAGATCTCAAAATTGAATTAAAATACAGCACTCAGTTATATTTTGGGCTAAGCTGTTACATTTGCATTAAAGGTGCAGGACTCAAACATTTTGATGTGGAATTCAGGACTTGGCACAGTTCATGCAGAGTTCAGAATGGTTTTCTCTGCCTATATCGTGCTTTATGGGGCAGATTTCTAAATTATATTTCTCAGTTTATGTTAATGTCTCTAGCAGTGTGGATGGCCCCTCTGCAGACACACATACTTCCCATTAATGCTAATGGGAGTCAGAACCAACCACACTGGGAGATAAATGATCTTTCAAATCTCTTCTGACCTTATCTAAAGTAACAAGATTGTTAACTCCTGTGAACATATTGGCCAAATAAAGCTTTATTCCCCCACCTCACCTAGAAGTAGAATATAAGAATCAGAGGACCTCTGTGGAGAATCTGACTGCAGCTCAGAACCAGGAGCCACTACTAGAAATAACTCTGCTTGGAAACACATGAATTCTACCTGTCAATCAAGCTACCTGGGCACATCATCTCTTAACCTCATCCTTAACACATCCCTGCCTTTCTCTTTTTGTACTGGTCAGGTTCTTTCTGCCTCAGTCCTTCCTCTTGCTCTCATCTATTAGGAAATTTCAGTTTTTAAAGTGTTCCTTATGTTTCAGCAAATCATGTGGCTAGCATAGGCAGGACATACTCATTCTACATCTGCAAGTCCACTAAAACTCTCCTGGAAATTGTCCTCAATTCATGTTTCCTAGTTTTAGACATTCACATATACCATTTTCATTATTTTTTGCGTATCCTCCTGTAACAATACATATTTAGTACTTTTCTTTGTACTGACTCACTTCTTAAATTTATTTTGAAAGGTTGTTATCATTGCAGTTAATGAAAAACTAGTGTTTTCCTAATATACCTTGAAAGAAACAAATAGTTAACAAAATAAAAAAAAATTGAAACTGTAAACTGCCTAAAACTATATCCTATACTTGCTTGGGTGAATAGCTGTTCACATTTTACTAGAAGGCAAGAAATAAATTATTTCATTTGTTAGAATAGGTAAAAGTTACTATCTCAGCAATATTTATACCCACACAAAAATGAGGCAACGATAACATATTTCATCCCTGATATATTTGTAGGTTTTGCACCATGATTCAGTGTAAGATGAGCATCAGGGAACTGCACAGTTGGTTGGGAATGGTTTTGTCCTGGGGCTTGTGGTATCACTGGGATGCAAACCCTGATGAGAAATAGAGGCCTCTCCTTTCTGCCAACTCTCAGGAGAGTCAAGGAAGCCAATACTTTCAAGAAGGAGGATAATAAAATACAGAACATACCTTGTTCCTACCTGTGAAAATACCTTACTTTTAACAATGTGAGATGCCATATATATATGGTTTCTCTGCTTAGCTGTTTCTAATCTTTCATACTCTTAGTCATTTCTTTATTATAGGCTCACTTCTTTTTGTTAAGTATTTTGTTTGGGTGGAAATGTCGTAAATGTTCACTTCAACATGATTTAGAATACATGCATATACATTTAAAAATATATAAACAACAAAACAAATATTAGTATTTCTTAGGTGCCAGCTACCCTGGTAATCACTTAGCATGGATTTCCACAGTCATCAAAACAACCTCATTTTATGAAAACATGTTTATAAACAAAACAACTACTAATATTTCCTAGGTGCCAGGCACCACGCTAATCACTTAACATGGATTTTCACAGTTATCAAAGCAACCCCATGAGGCTGGCACTGCTATCATCTCCACAGGCTAATTTTCTTGTCTAAGAGCTAGTAAGCGGCAAAAATGAGATTCAAACCCAGATCACTCTGGCTTGAATCCCTGCCTTTTAACTATAATTTAAGATGCTGCCCTAATATTCTCTTATATCTTCATAACTCACAAATAAACTATAACAGGTCCCAGCTCTGTGTCTAACCAGCTCTGAAGCACTGAGGTCTCTCTTGGTCCTAGATGATCACTAAGCTTCCTTTAGCCGAGATAGTCATACATTAGCAAAGACCTCTAGTTAGAATTGTGCTTTACAAATACCATCTAACGTCTTTTTCCTTTGCCTCTGAAACAGAGTGAACAAGCAGTCAGTCATACACTGATGCTAATGCCCTGAGGAAGTAGTAAACAGACTGAAATAGTTGGAATCAATCTAAACATATATTTAGTTCTAACTCTTGGACTTCCAATTTTCTATTTGCACAGTTAATGATAAAAAGACTTCCTGAAATAGTAGTACATTTCCAACTTCCTATGACTCTAAAATACATAATTAGGTAATTTTTAGCTTTCTTCTTTAAATTAAAGTGAAGGCAATTTTTAAAAAAATATTTTTATTTTTCCTTCATCTACCTTCATAAAGGGAGCTACAAATGGGCCAGAAGGAAAAATATGATATAACTCATCTTATAAATTACTCAGGAACAGGAAGAATGGGTAAAAACATTTCCTGGTGAGGCAAAAAGAACCAAGGAAAACTCAGAATCAGGATCCGGGTTTGGGTCTCCTTCTGCTACTCATGACCTTAAGAGAACCACCAACCTGAGCCTCATCTTCTTCAGTCAAATTATTGCCAAGATCCCTTCAACTCAAAAATTCTATGACAGGGCAATATATAAAGTGAAGGAAATGCAAATGAAATATAAATTAAGATCTCCTTCTTTTTAATTGTTACTTAGCACTTTCAGCCCATGCCACGAAGCTGATATTGAAATAGTTTCACCATGTGCTTTGCTAAGAGCTTAAAGGACTTTCTGTTACAAAAACTATAAAGTGCCCAGGCTATGGTATGTGGGAATTTTATTTCCTTAAAACTGACAAGGTTGGCTGAGTGACTAAGGCAAAGCACAGAGGTGATGAAAACCTTTTATTAGTATAATAAGCCATATCCATATCTCTGAATAAAAGGGACAGCTATCTTAAAAATTACCAAAGTCATTGTTTAAACAATGTTTGCTAAAAATAGTACATGAGTCTTGAGTTTTTAATTTGTTGCCATAGTGTTCCTAGACATGAATTTCAAATTTATAGAGACTTGAAAGAAATTTAATTAAAGGATTGAAGATAACATTAGTTATAATACTATAATAGATACAATAGCTATAATTCTCAAAATTGTATTGGATGATTCTGAAATAAAATAGCCTTTCAATCATATTCATTACCAGGAGTTTTCTAAGAATTATTAATCATATCATGTTTGCCGTGATGAATTAATTTAGCAACACAGTGATATCTGTACATATTAAAATGAATGATGCCACTTCTATAGATTACATTATTAGACATGAGAACACATATATTAATATATGAATTCTTTGGGTTAGCCATTACCTTTCACTACCAAGTTTCCAGTACTGCTAGCAGTTCCAAAATGGTTAGTGGCTATACAGGTATAACTCCCAGCGTCTGATTTAGTAACGTTGATGATTCTGAGGTTTCCATCTTCAGAAATGGTAATTCTGAAATCAAAGTAAATGAACCAAAAATGGTGAAATTTATCTCATATGACTTATTGCAAATTATTTCTATCATTCTGTCATCTTTCAAACCATAAATCATTGCTACATTATTTGACAGCCTCATCTTTATTTAGGATATTTGTCCAATACACATAAACATAATTAAGATACGTGACTTGTTTAGTGTTTTTAATATTTTTCTTGTTAAAATGGTCTCAATAGTCATTTGGAATAACCATTATAAATATTAAATAGGTTGTGACAATTTCTCTTTCAGAGCTCTAACCACATTAGGCAAAGGGAAGGCTTATGGTAGATCACCATTAGTCTTAAAACTGCTAATGAGGAATAAGAAAAAAAATCCTTTGATTAATCAATTTAAGCATTTTCATTGAAAGTACTTTTTTCTAAATTAGAGGCTTAAATTAAATGAGGTATTATTAACCATATTAATTTCTAAAATATGTCAGCCAATACATTTTTAATGAGACGTAAAAACTGAACTTAAAAAATTAAAATATTCCACAACTCAGTGTGACTTTGGCAGAATAGCAAATGTGGACGGCAAGCCTCAGGCCTTACAAATAGGGTCAAACATCTACTTTCTGCAGGGAAGAAAATGTTTTTGTTGACCGATGCAAAATCTGGAAGAGGAAGAATTTTAAAGAACTCTATTTTCAACACTACTACCAGAAGAGAGTAGGAAAATACAAAGATAAATAAGACAGACAGCTTGGCTTAGAGGCTTGTCAGAGAAATAAAAAACGTACACAAATAGCTCATTTAAGGTAAATGTCTATTACATTTCTCTTATATTTCAAATCTGCCCACATCTTTCCATCTCTTCCGCTCCCTCCTTCCCACCTAGTCTATCAAAACAGCCTCCTAATTGGTCTGCCTGTTTCTACTCTTGTCCCTCAAATTTATTCTTCAGTCAGTGACCAGATGATCTTTTAAGATTTAAATCAGATTATATCACTCTCTTGGCTTAAAGCTACATCCTTGGCACTGCCACTACATTCTGAATAACTTTCTCATTAGAGCTTTATTGTAAAGCCTAACGGATCTAACTTTTTAAAAAGCTTCTCTTGCTTACTGTTTTGTTCTAATACTTCTACCCTTCAATGAGCTCGAGTCACAGTGCTGTTCTGCATGTTACTAGAGTATCTGAAATATTCTCACTTCAGGTCCTTTGCACTTGCTGTTCTGCCTGCTTTGAACATCACTTCCCTGTATCTTGACATAGCTGTCACCTTCTCACCTTCAGGATCTCAGTGTAGAGGTAGCTTTTCCTTATAGATCTTTCCCAACTCACTGTTTAAAGTGGGTCTCCATGTCTCCCTGTCTCCCTGTTTTCATGTAGCCACTTTATTTCTTCCCACTAAATTCAATCTGGAAATTTTATTTGTTTGCTTGTTAGTTGTCTTATTGCATAGAATGGTAGCGTCTCTGAGGGCAGGGATGGTGTTTGTCTTACGACTGAACCTCCTGGGTCTAGGACACAGGATGGTATGTAGTAGATACTAGAAATATTTAAATGGATAAGTGAATAAGTGAATAAATAAATATCCTAAAGGAAAAATTGATAATATGCTGTAGGAATTCAGAGTGGCTGAACCACTTGGCACTAGTGCTAGACTTAACAGAGTCCTTTCAAATATCTGAAATAAGGGGGCTATGATGGGCAAAGCCTCACTTCATAGAACTTTTGAGTAAGCATTTAAAAAACACAGGTGAAGGTGTAAATGCATGGATTTGCAAATGTTGCATATATATTTGTGAAGGCTTTTATGGATGGAGAAGCTATAGTCTTCCTGAGGACCCGGTCCAGATCTATCAGTCAGGCTGATGAGAGTGTATGAAGGTGGAAGAACTCTAAAAAGAATTTTGGAATCAAAGGATTGGGAGTTCACATTCCATTGCTGTTGGTTCTAGCTGTATGGACTAAAGGCAACTTGCTTCACTTTGTTTTTACTTCCTCTTCCATAAAATATAAGTAACCATGTCCATCTTACAGATTGATAGCAAGAATTAGATAAGATAGGATCAGTAAGATTCCTAGATGTTTCCTGATACGTATTTATTAGGCAGTGGTTCTCTTTCATCTTTAAAACTGTGTTCACCAGGCTGGGTATTGTGGCTCACGCCTGTAATTCAAGCACTTTTGGGGGCTGAGGTGGAAGGATCACTTGAGCTCAGGAGTTCAAGACCAGCCTGGGCAACATGGCAAAACCTTGTCTCTACAAAAAAATACAAAATTAGCCAAGTGTGGTGGCTTGCGCCTATAGTCCCAACTACTTGGGGGGCTGAGCTAGTAGGATCACTTGAATATAGGAGGTGGAGGTTGCAGTGAGCCAAGATTGCACCACTACACTCCAGCCTAGGAGACAGCATGAGACCCTGACTCAAACGAACAAACAAACAAAAATTGTGTTCTCTTAGTCATTTGTACATATAGGCAAAATTGGATAACATTCTTTTAATATGTTTTCTTTTAACATAGTAATTAAATAAGTCTTCTTTTTATATTTTGACTGTTATTTCTAATAATCTGAAATCAATATACCAATTAACGGAGTCATCCCTAATCAAGGTACAAGATGCAGACAGGGCACAAGGGCACGTGTGGTTGGGCAGTTTGTAGTGGCTGGCGGTACCTATGCTGCTTTTTGGTAGAGCTCTGGCATGGGACGCCTTGGCCTTGGGGCTGGGGTGAGCCATGCCCCTGGTGGAGGCAAGGGAGCTGAGCTGGAGCCTCGGCCAGTGAGGTGCTAACTCCTAGGCTGACCGTTGCTGCTGAGGGATTTGTGGGTCACTATGTTTTGCAAACTTGGAAGCATAAGAGCCTGAGGTAAAACATCCCTGTTTTTCAAAGTCTACTGAAATCCGCCCTCAGTGATGTCTATAGAGGTGTCTGAATCCAAAGTGACAAAATGAGAAGCAGAGGTGTAAGTCCTCCTGCCAATAAAGAAAGAATAAGAGATGCTCATCAAAAAATTATTCCCTTAATCACTCAGGTAAAGGAGAATGTTCTTACATAGCTGCCAAAATCTATGAAGCTAAACATTTACTAGCAGATTAAGGTTAAAGTTATGTAAATGTATGATGAATTTTAAGTTCTTAGTAGTTTACATATATGACTACCAACTTCTTATAATAAAATGTCTCAAAGCTACAATTTAGAAAAATGATTTAGCATAAGCCAAATCAAAGCTCTGGCTAAAAAAAAAAAGGACAGACAAGAGGCCTTTTTTTTTCATTTACATCACAGATACACACATAACAGTTGCTCAATAAAGACCATCTGATACCTCATTTGGCAATAAGCAGATGCACTGACAAAAACAGAGTGGTGAACAAATCTTAATTACCTCAATAATAACAAAAATAGCTTTAAAGGAGTTAGTCACACTCCATTTATAAAATAATTTGCTAGAAATTGTGAAATGTTAGCATATGAGAATTCAATATGTAAGGTGACATTTGTGTTTTACTTATGGACTTATCTTCCATGAGGTAACACTGGCCTGGAGCATATTAAACATTCTGAGGGGTAAGATGACTTTCAAAGCAAAAACACCTATTAATAAATTATACCATTAAAAATAGTATCATGATCATTCCCAAAACCTAAAGCCATCGCCTGTATCAAACTCTAACATGCTGAAGGACATGAATACGGAAACAAGTAAAGGGTTTGTCATCAGATGACTTGGTTTCTAGCCTTGACTCTGAAACTTGTCAAGTATATGGCATAGCCAAGTTACTTATGCAAGCTCTGAGACAGAGTTTCCCAACCTTGGCACTGGCGACATTTTGGACTGAGCAATTCTTTGTCCTGGGGAGAATGCTGGGCAGCATGCCTGGCCTCTGCCCACTGGATTCTTATATCTCTAACCCTTCCCCAAGTCATGACAATCAAAAACGTCTCCAGATATTGCCAAAGATACCCTGAGGGTCAAAATCACCCCCAGTTGAGAACTACTGGTCTAATTCAGTTTTTAAAATCCCTTCTTCTATAATGAGATAAGATACCTAAAAAGTTCCTTTAACTCAATGTGCTCTACACTCTTCAAATGTTTTCCCCACCATCATTACCATTCCTGCTTCCTACTTTTGGTAACTGTATTGCATAAAACCCAGCTAGCTTTTAACAGTCTTAGTACAAGGCTTTCTTTCCCCGTTGTCCTTAGAGATTCCCTACCCAATTGCCTATAGACCTCATGAAATTACAAAATAATTTTATAAAATATTTACTATTCATTTGAAAGATTTCAGTGCCTGATATTGGTTTACAGACTTAACTCTCTAAATGTTATTTGCAAAGAGGTAAGTAAAATAAGGAAGACCCTGTTAGAATTACAGATGAGAGAAGGACAGTGAGGGAGATTATCTGTAGAAGGGATAACTTTCAGTAGCCTTCATTAGATCATATCATATTGCTGTGATTATTTATTCTTCCTATTATCTAAATGTGGGAGTAATATGAAGTTTGGTAAACGATTCTTTCGAGAAACTCAACAACTTTTTTATACAGCAGTATAGTGTAGTAATTAACAACATAAACTCTGCAACTAAACTGTCTAGGCTCAAATCATGCTTCTACTACTTAGGAGCTGTGTGACTTTGGGAAACTTAACCTCTCTGTACCTAAGTTTCCTTATTTGTGAAAATAGGATAAAAGTAGCTACACATATCTCATAGAGTTGTTGTAAAGATGCACAGTGCGTAGAACAATTCCTGACACGTAAAATGCACCAGGCAGGACAGGTGTGTCGGCATATGTCACTGAGACCCTCATTAATAGGCCAGAGTTAGGCACATGTTCTATTAAGTGAAGCTCTGTGCCTTCCTTGACCCAGATTACAAATCCTTTGTAATTGTTTCAGGCAATTGCAAAGGATTGTGTTAAAGCTAAGACAACTGATGAGTAGTTCTGCCACTCTGAAGTTCTACAGCACATTATTATGCCTCACAAAGCACACAGGTGACACCAAATA